CAGTAGTAAAAATAAATTATAGCCAGACTCGACTTTTTCAAATCTATTTTTTTGATTATCAGTAGAAAAAGTAATTTATAATCAGACTGTGCTGTTGTTTTTTTTTGTTTTTTTATTTTTATTTATTTTTTTCGTTTTTTTGTTTATTTTTGATTTCTTTTACGGTTTTTTTTTGTTTATTTTTATTTCGTATTTTTTGTTCCTTAGAGTGAGTATCTTCTCACGTAGTGACTTGGGACGTGCAAACACATAGGCAAACGGGTCAAATTCGAAATGCTGGCTACGTTTGTTTCTGACCCATTTTTTTTGCTATTGGCGAAAAAGGCAAAAGTGTCGCGACTTGCACAAGCTGTATATATAAAAAGAGAAATAGAATAAAAAAAAAAATTATTTTTTTTTTCGAAACACGATCTCGTACTGACTCTTCGAACAGAATGTAAATGATCAATTAAGGGATGTGTAAATCACATTGACTCGAAAAAGGACAAGAGGGACAAACGTAAGGTTGTCCCTTATATATAAAGGAATTTTGTCTACGAGAGGGTCTTGAAAAAAAATTGCAACCTTTTATCCTCTATCACGTTTCAACCCTTGCCTATACTCGTCGTCTTCCTCGTCGTGTGGAAAAGAATATTTATATCCAGACCACGTTCTCAATGCTCTGGAGAAACGTCGAAGAGACATGGACGAGTCCTAAGTTCCAAGCTCAATAAGCATGCACAACTTGTCTCGTTTCTTGCTTTTCTTCTAATTTTCTCCCACTTCTCTTTAGTTTTATCCCCCACTCGAATATAAAAGCAAGAATTTAATGAATTGAAATTTTTTCAAAAAATTATTCTATTATATAGTTACACGCGGAAATGTTTTATTTGAACCAAATAATTATATTTGGTTATATATAATTATATTTGAGCCAGTTAAATAAATAATTATGATAATTAAATTAAATAGTATTTATTTTATGTTATTTATTTAATGCAATATTTATAATTAAAAATGTCGATAAAAATATTTATTAGCTTCTAGAATTTTTCGTATATGTATTTTTTTTCTGTATTAAATTTTAGATTTAGTGAATTTCACCCTCTTTCTCTCTCTCTCTCTGGAGTCCTTAAAATTCCGGAAAGTTTGTCAATGTTCTGTATTTAAAGTTCGCCTCTAATGTTAAAGTTTTGTGAGGAATTTAACTAAAGTCTCTCCTTATGTACATACATATATATATTGTCGGAACAAGTTCGTTAAAGTCCTCGAAAGTCCCCTTTAAACTAAATGCATTCAAATCCGAATCCTTTATTTTGATACTTCCATTCTCTGCTCACAAAATTTTATCTATTATTCCCTAAAGCTTCATTTAAAGCTCATCATCGCACCTTGAATAAATTTCACGAAATAATTTTCCTATTTATTTTTCACTTTTTTATATTAATAATAAAAAATATAATTTTTGAATTAAAAAAGAAAAAAATTAACTGATTTTAATTAATAATTTTAATATTTAATTATAATAATTTTAGTTATTTTTCACTCTCTACAGTCTACACCAAAGAAAATAAATTAGGTATTCGATACCAATTATATAATTTATATTTACAATTTATTTATAATAATTTATTTATAATGAATAATTTTTGAATTTAAATAATATTAAAATTTTTTTTCAATTAATATTTTAATTGAATATTTAAATTTATTATTCAAATAATATTTATAATAATTTATTTATTTTGCAAAATAGAAAAATAGCAAATACTAAATAAGAATATTTGTATTAAATATAAAAATTTTGTTTGATACAAAAAATAATAATATATAATAATAAAAATAAAAATATTAATATTAATTATAAATATTTATAATATTATATTATTATTATATAGATATATTATTATTATTATATAATATAATAATAATAATAATAATAATATATATATATATATTTATTTATATAAATAAATTTTAATATAATTTATAATAGAGAAATTTTTATTTTCAACAAATAATTTATTTTAGTTTATGTTTGAAACATATTTCTTAAATGTGCAAACATCTTTTTTTTTTTTTTTTTAATAAAAAATTCATGAACTTTTTTGTATTTCATATATATATATATATGGGGTTAATGGGTCGTAAAATGGCAAAATAACTCCAAATGGTTTTCATATGAAAATTCCAGTATTATTATCACTTGGGAGGGAATAGTACAAATCTAAAAATAAAGATTTTTTTTTACTAAAAAAAAAGTGAAAATAAACTTTTGTTGGTGACAAAAAAAAATTATTTTTTTTATCTTACATTACACACGTTATATTATCAAAAATAGTTATTTTTAAAATTGAATGTTTTTCAAAATAAGGGGGAGAGAGAAAAATTAAAAAAAAAAAAAAAAATCGAAAACAAAAATTTGAATTGTCCCATTGTATATTCTATGTATGACATGTGTGCGTAGAGGTTTTGTATTTTTTTTTTTTTTTTTCTTTTTCTTTTTGCATTTTACTACTTTTCCTTGTTGGAAAAAGACGCGCTTGTATTTTATTTTCTCCTCGTCATTTTTCATTGCATCCCCCGTAGAGATTATTTATACTCAAGCCACGTTCACAATGTTCTGGGGAATTGTATAGGCGAGACGGTGAAGGCGGCGGCAGCAGCAGCAGCAGTAGCAGCGAGGCCATCCCCAGACTGTCCAAGCGAACTAACAACAAAATGAGACTTCTTTTCCTTTATTCTCAGCACGTCTTTGCTTTTCTTCATTTTGCCTTTTCAGTTATTTCCACCCGAAATTATTAATTAATGGCGAATTTCAGTTTTCACGCCTCTTTTTTTTTCCCTCGTTTTCTCTTTTCTTTTTGATTCACGTTGAAAAAAACTGAGAATAATAAACATTTAACAGTTTTTGTGAAAAAAGAGTATCTTTTTGTCTATGTGAAAAGAATGCAATTATCTTGTCATTGAAATTTTGTTTCGTGATATTATATTTTTTCCATTCTTTTTTTTTTTTTTTATTTATTTCTGTTTTTTTGAGAAACTTTTTTTTTAATTATATTAGAGAAATGGGGAAATATAATTTATTATAAATATAATAAACTATTATAAATAATAAGATAAATAATAAGATAAATAATAAGATAAATAATAGTAATAATAAAAATAAAAATAAAAATAATAAAAATAGTAAAAATAATTTATTATAATACAGTAATTTTTACGATCAGTAGTAAAAGTAAATTTCAATCAGACACAGCTTTTAAATTCTTATAATTTTCCTATATTAGTAGAGAAAGTAAAATTTATTCAAATGGAATAATTTTTTGTATCAGTAGTAGAATTATATTTTAGTCAGACATAAATAAATATTTATAATTTTTCAATATCAGTAGTAGAGGAAAGTTTTAGTCGGACAGAAAAATTAATATTTTTAAATAATTAAAAGAATTTTTTCACTCAGACAAAAATGAGATAATTTCATTTAATTTTAATCTCAGAAATAAATTTCAATTAAACAAAATTTTTAATTTATAAATAATAAAATTTATAAATTTCAATTTTCAAAAATTATATTATTTAATTAACTTGAAAAAGAAAATTATTTTTACTATTAATTTTATTCAATCATTATTTATAGAATTTATTCCGTCTAACTAAAAATACTTTTTACTACTAATAGTTAGTAGTACTAATAGTACTAATAATTAGTAGTAAAAAGTATTTTTAAGTCAGACGAAATAAATTCTATAAACAATGATTGAATAAAATTAATAGTAGAAATAATTTTCTTTTTCAATTTAATTAAATAATATAATTTTTGAAAATTGAAAATTTACACAGATTATACTATATTATTACGAGGCAAATTAGAGTGTCTGTTAAATATTTGAACATTTTGAAAATATTCACATTTGACTGGAAATGCATATAGCAGCTCATGAAATACATCTCTTGGGGCAAAGGGAAAATCTCGTTTCTATACTTGAACTCGAATTTCAAAGAGAGAGAGAGAGAGAGTGAGTCTTAGCTGTATGTGGATATAGAAAGGCAGGAGATGGAAGAGCCTGAGTGAATCTTCTTTCATGAAACTCATGACACACGAGCTTTATGAAGATCCATTTTGATATCGTAAATCCAACCTCATGTTGAGTGATGCAACTTCTTTTTCTTCTTCTTCTTTTGGATTAGGTGTGAAATGTATGCGAATATTTTTCGTCAAGGGCCGCTCATTTTCTATTTTTTTTCACCTAGACCTGAAAAATGACGCGCAAGGATTTCATTTTGGCGTTGAAAGAAAATGTAAAAAATTTCCCTAAGAGATCAAAATATCAAAAGTTTTTTTTACAAAAATGATAAAAAAAATTTTGTTTGCTAAATTATAGTTTCTGATTTTTTTTTTAACAAAATAAAGTATGAAAAAGAAAAAAAAATTGTATTATTTATAAATTAAAATTAAATATTAAAAAATAATAATTATGAATAAAAGATAAAAATTTTTGAAAATAGAAAATTAAAATATTGTGAATAATTGTCTTGTTTTGCAATTGTAATACCCTTTCTATAAAGTGTGAGAAATTGACATGAATGGAAAATCGTGTTTCGCTTGGTTGCACTTGTTCAATCAATACCATGATTCCCCAACTAAGTTGGCTCGAGTCACGTGGTTGTACATGACCAGTGGCCATGTTCCTTGTATCCGTTGATACCTATTACAAATTAGGGATGATTGCCTCGTTCGTAATACCACCACGTGCTTGAGCAATCCCATCCTAATCCAAGCAGGGACATTTCAACCTTTATACCAATTCCATCTTAATGACGAATTTCGTGTCAAGAATTGACAACATTTTTTTATTTTTACACCGAAAATTGGAATTTTCTTCTAATTTTATTAAATTACTTTATAGAAATTTTGTCCTTTTTTTATAATTTTCAATTAAATAGTAAAATAGCTTTTTTTTTAAATTATATTCCAAACAATAAAAAAAGTATACAATTTGAAATTTTTTTTGTTTCAGGAAATTGCGGCAATTTTAATAAATTTCCAAAGGCACGCAGAATGGCAGAGTCGCGAAGCCAAAGTAAGACCGCGAAGTGGTTCAATGTTGTTATTTTCGCGAAAAAAGGTCCGCTATCGACGAGATGGTTATTGTTGGAAGAAAAGAAAAGACGGAAAAACAACGCGAGAGGATCACATGAAGCTCAAGGTGATTATAATAAAAATTAATTATTTCCCCCTCGAAAAAAAAAATAAAATGAAATTTAATTATTTTTAATTCTAAAAATTATTTATTTATTTTTAATTTACAGGTACAAGGCGTAGAATGTATATACGGTTGCTATGTGCATTCGGCGATATTGCCAACATTTCATCGACGTTGCTATTGGCTTCTACAAAATCCTGACGTTGTTCTTGTTCATTATTTGAATGTTCCTTATCCCGATGGCGATGCAAAATTGGCCGCTTTACCGCCATGTCTTGCATTGCCACCGGATAAAAAAGAATGGACACGCGATGAATTGGCATCGCAATTAAGGCCAATGTTTCTTGGCAGTGATGACGATCCAAATAATCCTCATTTATCGCAAAATTCAAATCATCCAGTTGACATGATCGTCTCACAGCTATTAGATAGACAACGTGCATCTTCCGCTTCGACAACCACCAGTGCTCAAATTGCTCCCAGGCGACTCACCCCTGACAATCAGGTTCGATTTCAAAAAAAATAATTATTTGAATTTATTTAATTAAAATATATATATATATTTTTTAGGTCTCATCGACAACTGGAGGTCAACAACCAACAACAACGGCATCGACGGCTCCTCGCGTATACTCGAGACATTCCCATTCAACCCAGAGTCAACAATCGGCTCCATTAGTATTAAGTCTTCAACAAATTCAAGGTGGTGGAGGACTTTTAATTCTTAATAGTCAACCATATCATCATCAACAGCAGCAACAACAACAACAACAATCAGCTCCGCAAACAAATCAAGTTGAAATGCAACAAGTTTCGGATCAAAAAATCGTCCAACAAATTGGTGTTGATCGTGAACAACAAACACAACAGGATATTGATACCAAAGACAATATTGATTGTACAAATGTGCAAACACTTACAACTAGTGGCAGTGGATCAGCGGGCGTTACCGATTTTGCTGAGACACTTGATCTTAGTCAAGAGGATATTCAACGTACTTTATCGGCTAATATGGTGCCACCATCGCCATCACCATCGCCCGCCGATAATAGTATTATTAATCCAATGGACTTTATTGATTCGCCGGACGATGTTCTTGTCAATCTTGATGCATTCGATGTCTTTGGGGATTTACCCGAGCTTCATGACTTCGATACTGAACATTGCAAGGCAGAGGAGAGGAGCGCTGATAATGACAATCCATGTCATCCCGGTACGACCGTCCATATTGCTGAATATAGTCCTGAATGGAGTTACACCGAGGGAGGCGTCAAGGTAATTATTCTTATTATTTCATTTGGTATTAAATATTTTCTTATAATTATATTCTTATAAGTTTTATTATAAATTTAATTTAAATTTTTCCATCCAATGAAATGTACATTGTTTACAGACATTCTTTAAAAATGATTTAGAAACTAAAATTATACTAAATTATTAAAATTAAAGAAAATTTAAAAAGGGTACATTTTTTAAAATACAATAATAATTTTTCGGAATCAGGAAAAAAAGGAGAATAACTGAAAATTTGGTTATTAGGAATTTTTTTTAATCTTCTAAAGTACGGGGATTATTTCACAATCATTCAATTATTTACTTTTTTTTCCAAAAAAAGTAAATTTAATTTCCACAAGGATTTCTCTTTTTTTTTACAATTATTCCTATAATAATAATTCTATCATTCCTTTAATTTTCATTCTTATATTTTTAATTTAAATTTTTCCATCCAATGAAATGTACATTGTTTACAGACATTCATTAAAAATGATTTAGAATCTAAAATTGAGGAGCAAATTTTCAAAACCTGATAAATCTATATTTTCTTATTTCGAGAAATTGAAAAAAATGACTTTTCTCATACATAACCACTGCAGTTACTTTTAAAATATAAAATTTGTAATAGTTTTATTCTATAATAATGTTTTTATATTCAAGACGTTCTGTTTTTAATTAAACTTTATTATAATTTAATGATTTACAGGTATTGGTAATTTTTTCTAATATAAAACAGAAAAATTATAACTCATCTTGGTTATGTCCAAAAAAGTTTTTGAATTGAAAATTCGTTGTTAACAAATTTTTTTTCTTAAATTTAACAGTGACAGGAAGATTTGTGAGGTCCTTAAAATATGAAAATTTATGTTTATCTCCATTTTTTTGAAAAATGGATTTATCAGATTTTGAAAATTTACTCCTCAATTATACTAAATTATTAAAATTATTAAAATATTAATATTAAATATTATTAAAATTTAAAAAGGGTAAATTTTTTAAAATATAATAATAATTTTTCGGAATCATGAAAAAAAGGAGAATAACTGAAAATTTGGTTATTAGGAATTTTTTTTAATCTTCTAAAGTACGTGGATTATTTTACAATCATTTAATTATTTTCTTTTCTTTTTTGTTTTTTGTTTTTCCAAAAAAAGTAAATTTAATTTCCAGAAGGATTTCTCTTTTTTTTACAATTATTCCTATAATAATAATTCTATCATTCCTTTAATTTTCATTCTTATATTTTTAATTTAAATTTTTTCATCCAATGAAATGTACATTGTTTACCAGGGTGTCTAACGGTCAGGGAAATGTCAGGGAAAAGTCAGGGAATTTCAGAAAATTTTATTTAAAGTCAGGGAAATTTCTGTAAATTTCTAAAAAAATTAAAATTTTTTGTGAATTTAAAAATTTTTAAATCTAAAAAAACTTGAATGGTTTTTATTACCATTTGTTACTACTATTAGAAATTAATTTATTGTTAAATATATCAGTAATCATATTTTTGTCCAAAAAAAAGCAGAAATAAGGTTATTAACAAGTCAGGGAAAAATCAAAAAATGTCAGGGAGGAGTCAGGGAAAATTTTTCTCAATCTTTGTTAAACACCCTGTTTACAGACATTCTTTAAAAATGATTTAGAATCTAAAATTATACTTAATTATTAAAATTAAAGAAAATTGAAAAAATGGTAAATTTTTTAAAATACAATAATAATTTTTCGGAATCATGAAAAAAAGGAGAATAACTGAAAATTTGGTTACATATTAGGGATTTTTTTTAATCTTCTAAAGTACAGAGATTATTCTCGATTTTTTTCCATGTTTCTCTGTTAAAAAAAGTTTTAATCAAAATTATAATTATTTTGCGATATAAATATAATTTAAAATTATAAAAATTGAATCTAATGTGTATTTTTTACTAATATTAAATTTAATAATATCTACTTAAAATATAATTATTTATATTTAGTTTTTTTTTAGTAATAATAAAGCATAAAAGATGCGTAAATATTTTTTCTCGAATATTTATATTGTGTTTATTATTATTGATTTCGATTGAGAATTGAGAATCACGAATTTCAACGACAACGATCATTACATTCGCATTCAATTGTCGATTATTGGAAATTCGAAGTTTAATGTATAGGGTCGTTAAAACGGGCCAATTTTGCCATCCTTGGCATGGCTGGTTGAATCGTATGTCAATGCTTCTAGTTTCTGTTCCAAATGACTCTCCTTTTTCTTCTTTGGTCTTGTTCATTGAATTCAAATTCATTGAACGATAAAAATGTAAATTTCGTTATTACAGGTGTTGGTGGCAGGACCCTGGACCGGTGGTAGTAATTCGCAATCTTATTCGATACTTTTTGACGCCGAACCAGTTGAAGCATGCCTTGTACAACCAGGTGTATTAAGATGTCGATGTCCAGCTCATGCGCCAGGAATAGCTTCACTTCAAGTTGCATGCGATGGTTTTGTTGTGTCCGATAGTGTTGCATTTGAATATCGTAAACCACCAACGTCTGAACCAAGTCCTGAGAAAGCACTTCTCGATCGTCTCGCCGATGTTGAGGCACGTCTACAGGGTTCTGATTCACATTCACCTGCTGCTCATCTTGAGGAACGACTCGTCGCTTATTGTCAGGTTGGAAATTAATTAAAAAAAAATTTTTTGAAAAATAATTTTGAAAAATATTTAATTTTTCGTTTAATTTTTTTAGGAAGCTGTTGCAAGACCATGGCGTACAAGTGCAGAACCACTACAATCAGGTGGACCAACTCTATTGCATTTGGCAGCGGGTTTAGGTTATTCGCGATTAGCTTGCGCGCTATTACACTGGAGAGCGGAAAATCCGAGTAGTGTTCTAGACGCTGAAGTTGATGCTTTAAGACAGGATGCTGCTGGATTGACACCACTTGCATGGGCTTGCGCTGCAGGACATGCGGATACAGCCAGAATACTCTATCGGTGGGTGACAATAAAATAAAAATACTAAATTCAATATTTTTTTAATTTGCCTATTTTTTTCTCTTTTTTCAAGAGAAATATTAATATATTTTTTTTTTTTGTTAAGATTAATTAAAAGAGAAAAGAATAGGCTTAAAAATTTTAAAAAAAGGATATAAAAAAATTAAATTGGCAAACTCGGTTGACAACCGCGACTCAGGGATCGTCCGCGTCAAGTTAAGACGGTTTATTGTGTCGTTTGTCCAGATGGAACGCAATGGCGCTGCGTGTGAGAGATTGTCAAAACAGGAGTGCCACCGAATTGGCTGCAGAGAACGGTCACACGGCGATCGCCGAAGAGCTCAATCGCTTGGAGGCTAGAAGACAAGATGAGAGACTATTTTTGCGGCCTGCCAGCCCTATTCCTAGGAGGCCATCTCAAGATAGCGGTCTCGATTTGGCTCTATGTTAGTCTCGTTTAATTTTTTATAAATTCAAAAAAAAAAAAAAAAAAAATCCAGGTGCACACTATTTTTTAACATGAAAAATATACACTTTACACTTACACGTACACACTAGACCCAAGCACATATCCGCTTTCCTTTTTCTTTCTCTCTGTTTCTCTTTCTCTGTTTCTATCTCTCTCTCTGTAAAAAAGTAGTAATTCCGTCATAAGTTAAGAATAATTTAAAAAAAAAAAACAAGGAGCGTGGCAATTAAGGGGTTTGATCGAAAAACACAGGTGGTTCCCCTCTTCTGGACGACATGGATTTGTTACAAGAAGATGAATCGTCTTTAGGCCTCGGCCACCAGGGAATGGAGACTGTCCCGAACCCTCGAGAGATCGTAGGTCCGTACTTAGCTCGTTCCCCTTCTCTATAATTGTCTGTCTGCCTGTTCTCTGTATTAAAATGTATATTTCTTAAACGTAATAACTGTCTTAAACACGCTCTCTACTATCTCTTTCTCTCTTTCTCAATAATAGATCCACTAGAGAGTTTTTTGATCCAAACGTGAATAATTTGTAGATTAACAAAATTAGTTTTTTACAAATGCCACGTGTGTGTGTGTGAGATCCAAAGGACACGATTTGTCATTTCCTCACCCTCCCCCCCAGATAAACCTTTTTTTTTTTAATATTATTTGAAACTCTTGCAGCTTCGGCAGTATTGGTGTTTGCTTGGCATTGGTATAAAAAAAATAAACAATAATACGCTCTTGTCCCTAATGACTCTATTTAGTCACCCGACTAATGTTAATTGTACTAACATTTCTACATATTAGCATTCCTTGTCTCTGTTGGATGTTATGTTGTACCAATCGCGTTTGATACCGCGGTACGTATTATACATATATTTCTAAATACATTTGCCGATGTGCCTCTAGAGAAAAATTATTTACTGGTGCATTTTATTAATATTCTCAAAATTTTTTATTATCAATATTTTTTTTCAGACACCAGTAGATAATTTCGAATGGTGTTGGGCTGCTCGTAATTTTTTTTTTCAGCAAAAAAAAAGAAAAAGTCATGCAGAAAGTCAACCTGGTGTGAGGAATCTAAACTGCAAAATAGTTGTTTGATGTTTTTTTTTTTTTTAAGCGAGTTGAATTGCCACTTGTAATAAATATTGATGCAAAAAAAAAAAAATAACACACATTAAAAGCTTTTCTTCAGTGTTGTGCCTCGGTGTGAAATTTAAAAGTGGTTAACTGCTTTCCACTTTTTTTTTTTTTTTTAGCAAATTTGGCTAGGATCATACTTACTTTTTTTTATAGGGGAGGAAGACGCGAGAGTGCTGACTTTGGCCGAGCAAATTATAGCCGCCCTACCGGAGAGGATCAAGAGAGCAGAGGCCGATCCTCCATCTCCATCTTCGCCACCTCCTCCTCCACCTTTACCACCTCTCGAGGACGCATTGATGGAACAAATGGTAAACATTTTCTTTAATTTTTTTTTTTTAAATTTCAATTTCCTTCGATGATGAAAATTTTAAAAATCTATTTTGTTTTCAGCCACTCGACTCGGGTAAATTGTTTGACTCGTATCGGGAGTGCGGCGGTGCGGCATCCGTTTCGGACGCGGACGCCGATGCGAGTCCATCAAGTCCATCGAGTAGTTGTTTGACGCCTGACTCACCGTCGCCACCGCCGACAACTGCTGATTTTTGTGAATTTTTACAATTACAATTGCAACTCGACGGTGGCAACGGTCACAATGGCCATTATCGTTATGGAACAGAGAGGAAATTTGGATGTGGAATAAATGGTTGCGGTGGAAGTTTAAGTTCCGGCGATGGAAGTGAAGCTGATTTCAGTAGATTAACATTATCGGATCGTGAACAACGTGAACTTTATCAAGCAGCGAGAATGATACAAAAAGCCTATAGAAGTTATAAAGGTCGTCAACGTCAAGAAGAGGCCGAGAGGCACGCTGCCGTTCTTATTCAACAATATTATCGTCGTCACAAACAATGTGCTTACTACAGGTAATGAATTTTTCTATAATTTGTTGTGAATTCTCAAAAAAAAATTGAATATTTTCCAACGAAAAAGAAGTTCAATATTTTTTTAATCGAAATTAAATTCCATAAAATAATAAATAAAATTAAATGCGAACTTTTGATTTATGGTGAAATATATAATTTAATTGTCCCTGGAAATTTTGAAATAAGCTCGTGACTATTAATTATTTGCAAATCAAGAGTAAATACCAAGATATCGTGATAATGGTTGACATGAATGTCAGTGGAACGGAGAAAGATGAATTTGAATATAAATCATAATTAGACGAGGTCGACATTGGCGTGTCTCGCTACTTAAAAACATCCTAACGATCCAGTGGTCGACTCGATTTGAAGTTAAAGTTCAAGTAACTTCGAACCGGGAGAGAGAAAGAGAGAGAGAGATAGAGATAGAGAGCGGGAACTTTTAATTGGCATCGTAAATAATTCGGAAACTTTACGGACTTCCCTTCGTTTCTTCCCGCAATGGCCTGAATACGAAATTAAGCTGGCATTAAATTAATACGACTTCTCGAGCTTAAGCCAAAAGTACTCCGGTAGATCGTACATAATGGAAACGTTATTTGAATGTGTGTGTCTTCGAGAGAAAGAGTGAAACTTCCGTTTGTATTTAAACTATATATATATTTTTTATTTTCTAACTCATGATTCCTTTTTTTTTAAACTTTTTTTTGCAGACAAGCCACGAAGGCCGCTTTGGTGATTCAAAGTAACTATCGAAATTATCGTGCGCGTCCTGGATCATCAGTTTCAAGACAACAAGCTGTTCATCAACAAGCCGCTCATCAAGCTGCTCGAAAAATTCAGCAATTTATGAGACAATCCAAAGTCAAGTGAGTTTCCCTAAATTTTTTTATTTTGTTTAAAAAAAAAAAACAAACAATTTAACAAATAATAAAATATTAAAAAATCATATATGTTCAATAATGCAGCTTGTCATGGGATGATTCCCGACCGGTAAGTAACGATTCGATTTATTTTTATAACGAAACGTTAGTTAATTTAGGGGATAGAATATTCCAATTTTGTTTTGAACAAATAAAAAAACAACTCAATTAATATTCTAAAGGTTGTTAAAAAAAAAAGATTTGGTTTTCTCTTTTTTGCAGACTGCAGAACGCCAGGGCCGCCGCAAACGGGAACGGGAGGCAGCCAGTGCCCATTTTACGGGGGGCTGTTGTCCCCCAAAACTCGCCCTTATCTAGCCCAGGCGCTAGCCTAGTAGCCGCCAATTCAAAGGTCACACAGTGAATAGCAGCGAACGTGAGATAGAAAGGAAAAAAAATAATTTCCGACAGGAACGATGTCGGACCATGTAGGGCTTTTTTTTCTACAGTGATATATAAACGAAGAAGAATTTTCCGGATATTAACGGAAGTATACTGGAAACACACAGACTTCACAGTGTGATGATAGACAGGTACTTATGATAAATATTGTTCAGAAAAAAAAATGGGTATCTCATCTTCTCGCGTTACTTATTTAAAAAAAAAAAGCATTTATACTGTTGCTATAAGTTAAAACAATTTTAAACTTATAGAAGTTTTTTATCCATGTCTTCTATTTAATAAGCTTTCAAAAAAGCGACACTTATTTCAAAAAAAAAAAAAAAGTGTTTCCAATAATTTCCCCTAATTCTGGAAACGCGTTTTTCTCTCAATTGTTTCTTGGGGATTTTTCCGCATCACTTTGTTTTTATTATTATTATTATTAGAAGAAGATGCGTCGAGATTTTAGACGAGAAAAATCGTGTACAGAGACCACGAGTTTCTTGTGGTTTTTTTTTTTTTGTTTTTGCGCATCGCTTTCTTCTGAAAAAATAAATTTAAAGCTTTGCGCTGTCATAAAATGGGGAATTAAAATTGAAAAGGAAAATTTTTGCATATATAGGCTTAGATTATTTAGAATTTTTCGCTTTTCACAGCAAGTGAACTTAATTCAGTGTTCAGTATTCCAATGAGAATACCTTATATATTTATCTTAGTAGTATTTGTTAATTTTTTTGATGATGCGTTGATCGCAGTATTTTTTTTTTTTTTTTTTTTTTTTTTTTTTGAAACAACGCGCGTCATTTAATTATTATCTGCCTCGCGAGACAGACGTTCGTTGTGCGATACACATGTACCTTTTTGCCGGACGCTTCTTGTTCCTATGGCAATTATTTTATATACTATTTTCTCCTTGCATTTCTTTAAATTTTGTTTTTTTTTTTAATATGTAATTTAATCAAAAAGGCACCAAAATACTTATGAATCATTAAAAAATTTTTAACTTCGTTTTTTGTTTTATAAATTATTTATTACGTTTTAAAAATATAATTTTCATTTTATTTTTTAATATTAATTTTTTTTTATAAATAAAATTTCACTTTTTTCTGAAAATTCCGAAAAAAATTACGCTTCCTTACTTAAAGTATTCTATAAGTGCAAATATATAAATATATATAAATATATAAATATCTAAAAGTCAAGATTTTTCGCTTTTAGAATTGATTGGAGCTGATATTCTAGTGTTAGTGAAAACAACAAAAAAAAAAAAAAAAAAGTTTTACAGTTTCGTGAAATTTATATCCATTGTCAATGGTGCTATAAAACGTAAATGAATCTTTTTTGCAGCGCCTTTAAAAAAAATAGAGCGCGACACTAAATTCGTGGTGACTGTACTGAAAGCTAGAAAAATGCTGGATAAACGATGTTTCCAGATGTTGCCGAGTTATTTAAAAAAGTAAAACAAAGAAATCAGTAATTAGAATTTTAAAAAAAAATTATCTCTAAACTTGAAATTGCAATATTTAACGATTCTTTAGTTAATAATGAAAAAAAAGCTACTTTTTTTTACATCTTGGCAACAGCTTTTGTGCTAATTCTTACGAGTAGTTTCGCGATAGATTGAATCAGTGTGTTAATTGAAACGACGAGCTTTATCCTGATATTTAAAAAAAAAAAAGCTCAAATATGTATTTTTGGACTGATTCGAGTGACCAAATTATTCGCATTAATAATGAGGTGATAATTTGCGAAAACTTGGTCAAATTTCTTTATTGCATACTATAAACTTTGCTTAATAGGATCGTATTCGAACGTTTCAATTCTCATTTCGAGAAAATACAATAATTCCTTATTGCTTTTTTCAAAAATGTAATTTATTTTTATCTCAACTTTTTGAGATTTCCTTTTCACAATGTGAATTTTTCCAAAGGTATTGAAAATAGTAAAATATTTAAAATTATTTATTCACATTTTTTTTTTATTTCAAATATTTTTTGTTTTCATAATTTTTTGCATTTAAAGAAAGGAATATTTTTTTTTCAAATAAAGTTTTTCTGACTTTATTTTTCATATAAACAAAAAAAGGTTCCTAAATTAAAATTTTCTTTTGCATCGATCCTACTGGATGATTAAGAAAAAAAAAGAAAAATAATCGCATTTGAGAGAATCACTTTTAAAAAAAAGGACTGATGGGATTTTCTTTGTAATCTAGTGGAATTTTAGGAAAATAATATAATTAAGAATAATTTTTAAAGAAAAAAAGAAAAAAAAAAAAATTAAATCTGGGCTCTTTCATTAGGCCCCTTAATCCACGGGCTGTGCTTGATGTCACGGTAATAATCAATTTTCTTAGGAGGTATTTTAGAATTGTAAATTAGGCAATTGCATTGTTATCGATTATCTATAACAGTTTCTCTCCAATTAGGGGATTTTTTAAAAAGGCTCTTTTTAGACTATTAGGGAATGCACAGAGGATGCATAAAGGGGGCATAGGCGAGGGCTCCGCGTTCCTGTTGGTAAAAAAATAAATAAATATATATATTGTGATAAATCTATGGTGATCCAAGAAAGTATTTCCAAAGTTTCGACAATTGATGTGAGGAGAATATTAAAAAAAAGTCTTCGCGAGTCGATTCTAATGAGACATTTTGAAGTTTACTTGTTGGTAACTTTTTCCAAAAAAAAAAATTTTTTTGCTGTTCGAAGGTAATCGATGATCGTGTACTTTTTCTTTTCTATTTTACCATTTTTTTAAAAAAATGATCATATTCTAAATATTTTTAAAAGAAAAAAAAATTTAAGTTCTAACGTTTCCAATAATATGATTCTAAATATTTTGTTAAATGTATAATGTTGATAAAAACTTTTGTTGTCTATTTGAAAAGATAGTGTTAAAATATATAATTATTATCGAATTAAGCTATAGAAATAAGTCAATAAGTTTCGATTGAAGATTGTGGGTATTTATATGATTCCATTTGTCGTGTTTTTAAAATAACATTTTCTTATTTAAATCCTCTCATTTATTAAATGTTGTTCACGATTTTTGTATAAAAAAAAAATATATATCTAGTAATGAGTTTTCTTAATATTTAATTACTTTATATTTATTAGAGTTTGTATATTTGTGAAAATAAGTAATATTAAAAAATAGATTTTTTTTTTTCCGTGTGGAAAAGAAGATTTTCGATTACCGCGCATAGCGGGATAAAGAAATTGATGGAAAAGTGATGGTAGCAAGTGAGAGGAATGTAATATTGTACACGAGTCAATTCCAACGAGCATTTTATGCCACTAAGCTTAATTAAAGAATTATTAGTTATTAAAAAAAAAAGAAGAAGAAAAAAGTAAAAAAAAGTAAAAAAAAAAATGAAAAAAAGAAATTGAAGAAAGGACGAAAAAATGATGGTAAAAAAAAACACTCTTTCTCAATCATTGTTAATTAAATTAATGAATTAATCACGATCTTATATCGATACTTAAACGAGACGAGTAAGCAATACTATTATATAAATAAATATATACATAAAACTATTATTATATTCATATTTTTGCTTATCGCGTAATTAAGGAATTAAAAAATTGAAGATGACAAAAAAAAAAAACTAATAAATAAATAAATAAAACTTTAGCGATTTTAGAAGGATGAAAACAGGGACGAAGGTGGACGATTTTGTAGTAAGGTGCAGTTTGCCGGGCGCGTGTCGCGCGCTCAGTGGCAATCAAATTGCGAATTTTACATTTCTTATTAAATAATCTTATATAGACAAAAAAAAAACCAATAATAAAATTTATATTATCGAATCATCGAAGCGCGCAGCGCCAAACTGTACTTCGCTAGATTTAAAAAAAAAAAAAAATATCAGACTTCAGCCCGGTTTAATTATTATCGTAGAGAACAGAACTTTTTTCCTAAGACTTGCGTCCTAACGATTTATTTCGCGTGATATTTTTAAATTTGGAAAAATTATTTTCATTTTTCTCGCATTATTTAATGTCAAGAAATTCTTTTTTTAACGAAATGTCTAAAATGGCAAATTTGAAAATATCACGAAGAATTTGTCGTTTAATTAGAGATGAAGAGAATATTGAGTAGTATTTTTTAGAAAAGAAAAATATAAAGAATTTGGGATAAAGTAATTTTTGCGAGGCAGGAATATAATTGAATAGCGAGAGCGAGAGAGGAGACTCACACTTCTACTATTAAATTAATTAATTAAAAAAAAAAAAAAAATCGCTAGTATAGGCGCTTCGAGGTACATAAACTCTTTAAAATCACTTTAAACAAAAAAAAAGCAAATTATTCTCAATCATAAATCTATTGACTATAAAGACATTTTTAAATCTACATTTAAAAAAAAAGCCAAGAGTCAAAGACGACTAGATGATAGGAGCCGCATGGCCTAACTGCTGCCACTTTAATTAATTAAACGATTAATTATAAAAAAATGAAAATACTTTATTACTACTCGATTAAAAAAAAAATAAATAAATAAATAAACGATGCATCGGATATATAACGATTGTGAGGTCGATGATGATTATAAACGATAAAAATGATGTATCGCGCCAATTTTCAACTACTTTTTAGAATTCAGAAACGAGAACAATATTTGTAGAATTAGAACAAACATTTTACTTCTTCGAGTCGGAAATTAATAATCCACAAAATAGATTCGAATCTCCAATGTCCAATTTGAAAAATTATTGCGAGTGTCGAAATCGTCCCGATTTGTCGGAATTTCGAATTTTATCGACATTTTTGATATTGTATAATAGAAAATAAAGAAAATTTGTTTTTTTTTTCCATTAAAAGTTAATTTCAAATTTATAAGATGTAGTAAATTTATTTGCACAAAAAAAAAATTACATATAAAAATTTATTATTTAGGTTTTTGTTTTTTTTTCTTCTTTTTAAATATTTTTTTATTCAATAAGAAAATGGGAGGGGGAAAAAAATGAAGGAAATTTGAAAGAAAAAAAAAAAATGTTAATGAATTAATTTTCTTTTTAATTTCTTCTCAACTTCTCTCATTGTTAATATATTTATCGTTTTTCATATTCAAGTTCTCGCCCTTGAATGTTCTAGTCTTTCTAAAGGCACTGATAAAATATTTCAATCACGTCCACTCGAGGCAATCTAAACGGAAATGTTTTCAAAGACTTTTCCATTTATTTTCTAATTTCCAAGAAAAGAAACATAATAGATTTCTTAATTCATAATTATATATATATATATATTATATACATATATACTAGGAGTAAGGCTTCTGAAAAACTATAACATTTTTTATACTAGTATTTAAAAATATCATTTGCACCTTAATAAAAAAAAGGGCAGATAAACAAAAAAATAATTAAAAAAAATATATATTCGGTGACCATTTCGACACTTTTCTTCAGGTTGACGTTTCTTCGTCTTGAAATTCGCGCGATAAGTCGAAGTCGCAAAAAAAAATTTAGATTTTAATGTAAATGATTAATTATTTACAAAGAGAGAATGAAAGACAAAAAAAATTTTAAAAATAAAAGAAAAATGATTTAAAAAAAAAAACAAACTCATCGACGTCCTCGAAAGCGAAAGTTCAAAAAAAAAAAAAATAAAATAAAAGCCACAGGCGAATTTCGATGCGAAGAGAGCGAGTCACATTTAAGCGCTATGTTAGTGTAACGAATAACGATACAGGCTCCATCTCTTGTAATATTTTTATTATCGCAAACGTAATTTTAATTATTATTATTATTATCATTATGATTATTATATAAAAGTATTATAATTAAATCAATGACTATACCACTATTTATTATTTATTGACTAACGTTCAACTAATATTGTAAATAACGAAAATATTTTATCTATATTTCCGATCCGGGGGCTTTGGTGGGAGCACCAAATTAATTAATTGGTGGTCTTTGGAAATCGTGCGATTTCCAGTCACCTGGTTCCCATTGTTACACCATTTCATCATTGCATTTAATAAATTATATATTTATTGACTTATTAATCTTTTCAATTTTACCTGTCTTTAAAAATTTTTTTTAAATTTAATTTGATTAAAATTTAAAACAATTTTACTTCTGCAACAATTTATTTAAAGCATGTTACAAACGGTACAAACGAAGTGTGTTGTCATATAATTGAGTACAAATAAAATTAAGATTATTTTACGTATGCAGGAGTTTACGGTATTAAAAATTACATAAAAGAGTTTTTTTTTTATAATTGAATTCATTTTGTTAATTGATTTTTTTACGTGTCTTCAAAAAGTTACTTTTTTTCTCATTTTATTTGACTAGATGTGTCTAATAAACATTTTTTTTCCTTTTCTTTACTTAATGTATATAAAGAATTAATATACATTTTATTTTTTTGTTTTAATATATTTTTCCGAACTTTGTTAATTATTTTTTTTTTTTTTTTTTTGAAAATGATTTTCTATTATTTAGAGACTCACCTGGATAGAAGAATTTCCTCAATTGCAGAAAAAAAAAGGAGAAAAAAATTTGTTAAATTTTTTTTAAAAAAAGTTTTACAGAAGAAAATCAAAAGACTTGGACACGATGATTTTCACGATCGCAAACAACAATATTGCCAGCTGATGTGACGGCAACACCTTCGAGGCCTTTGAATTCACCATCGCCACTACCCCAATTGCCAAAAGATCGAAGAAAAATGCCTTCAGGTGTGAATATTTGTATACGATTATTGCCTGAATCGGCGACAATAATGTAACCCTGATCATCGACAGCGACACCGCGAGGAAATTTAAATTGACCCTCGTCTGAACCTTCTGATCCAAATGCCGTCAAAACACGTCCATTGACGTCAAATATTTGAATTCGATGATTATTACTGTCACTGACTATAACACGATTTGTGTTGCTCACGGCAATATAATGAGGATGTTCCAATTGACCTCGTCCACTTCCACAGGATCCAAATTTCCCAACAAACGTTCCATCCGATTGGAAAACCTGAAGAAAAAAAAAATTGTTTTTAATTACAAAAAATTAGAACTTTAGATATTCTTTTTAATTATTTAATTTAGAATTTTTTTTTTAATTTCGTTTAGTAATTACTTTTCTAATTTTGTTTAAAATAATTTTTTACAGTCTTACTTGGACGCGATGATTTTCCTTGTCGCACACGTAAATAAAACCAAGAGCATCTGTTGTTATGCCCCAAGGATAATTGAATCTTCCATCAGACGTTCCCTGAGAACCAAAAGCCCGAAGAAATCGACCCGATGGATCCAAAACTTGAATACGATGATTATAACGATCGGCAATGATAAATTGGCCAATTCTATTAACCGCAACTCCTGCCAAACAGTCAAATTGACCTTCTCCGCTTCCATACATTCCAAATTCCTTCATGAAATTTCCGTTTCCATCGAAAACCTTTTGCGAAAAAATTATTATTATTTTCTTTTCTTTAGATATTTTTTTTAAATATACAGATCTATTTTTTTTTCGTTATTAGAAAATTTTGAATATTCACGTTTACCTGAACACGATGATTTGAACTATCGGCCACAACGATGGAATTGTCCGGCCCAACTGCAAGGCCTCTTGGCCATGTAAAGCATCCGGCTTCGCTCCCCCGCATCCCAAATTTGAACAGCTGCCGCCGCTTCAGCAGGTACTGACCTCTGTGTCATTATCGAGACAAAATAATTATTTTTTCCAATTTGAAAAATTGCATTTATTTTGTTATTAGAGCCAATAATTAAATAGAAAAGGATTCACGGATGATAGCATTCCAGTGTGATTTTAGAAACACAAAAAAAAAATTTGTTTTCAAAATTATATAAGATTAAAAATAAAATTTTGAAAAATTATCTCGATTCCACTTACCTAGTGGAGGAACCTGCTGGCGCGGGTATAACGGGAGCTGCTATAGGGGACGTGGGGGAGCCTGACGGGTTTTTTTGGTCGTCGTCAGAAGATTCAAAAGACGTTTGACCCGGATGTCTCAGAGGTAGACCAAGTGACAACCTTCTAGAGGTTGCGCTTGCACTACGGAAGTTTAAAAAATTTTTTTAAAACTTTACTAAATAATTTATTTTGGTTTTTTATAACGACGTTCTTCATTGCTGAAAATTTTCCACGGAAAATTTTTTTTTAAATATTTGTTTTTAAATTGTTTATTTCAAAAATTTAATTTTTTTTAATTCTAAACATTAATAATATAATTTTTTTTATTGTCATAGTTTAGGTTAATATACAATAATGAAAAAAAAATTTATCCATTTAAGAATTATTTCTTTTTGTTTATGTTTTGTGGAAATTAATTTACAAATAGTAATTATTGAAAGAGACATTCACAGCCAGGAGATTATTCAAATATTATGTGAGCACAATTAAAAAAAAAAACTGGATAAAATTGGGACTTGGAGAAAATATGTTTTACAAAGAAATTCTTTGTTCTCTTACCTTAATATTTAAATATTACAAAAAAGGAGAGTAACAAATTGAACAAACAGTCGAAACAAGGTTGAGATACACAAAATTTTATTTTCTCTTAATTGAAGGAATGTTGTTAAAAACGATTGAAAATGTGCTTACATAATATTTGAATTCCTCGTTACAATCCTTGCTTGATGTCCTTTCAGATGATTTATTATGTAAGTTACGTTATTCCTGTAGGTTTAAATTCGAGGTTTTTTATTTAAAAAAAAAAAAGATTTTTATTTACAAAAATATCCTAATTAAAAGTAATTAATTTATTTTTAAATCTTATTCAAAACTCTTTATTTATATACTAAATAAAAATGAAACTGAAGTTGTCATAAAAAGACGAAATCGCTGATGTTAAATATATTAAAATTTACCATAAAATAAATTATACTATAAAAATAATATGAAAATTGAATAAAACTAAAAATTAAATTAAAGCCGTGAATATAAAGAAGAAAGCAAAAAAATTAAGATTTGAAGAGAAAAAAATTACTTTTATAACTTGAATCATGCAAAAAAATTTGTTTATTCACGAAGCAAAAATATAATTGCAACAATTTGACAAAAAATTCTTCTATAATACTTAAATTACCCAATGCTTCCCACCACAGAAGTTGAAACTAAAAGAAAATAATTTAAACTCAATTAATCAAAAAAAAAAGTACTTCTGTTATGGGAATGAAGAACCTAATTTTTCTAGAAAAAAAAAAATCTCGTTGATTACCTTCCATAATAAGGAGATACCAGTTCACAAGGGATTTCTGAAGTAAATTACCATGCAATTTGAAGCACTTTTTTTTTTTATTTCAATCCTTTAAATGAAATCCAAATAAATATATTCTCCAGTGTCTACAAAATTGAGTGTGTATGTGTGTGTACATTTTTTGTTTTTGGTCTAGATAATATAAAAATTTCCCTAATTTACACAAAAAAATAAAAATAAAAAATTTGGCAAATTTTCTCAATCAACACTATTTCTATATAAATAAATAAAGAGATTTCTTGCTGAATAAATTATATATATATATGAATAATTAAATAAATTAATAATTAAAAACAAAATTAATTTTAAAAATAGTAATTTAAGATAAATTTTTACTTAAATTAATTTGTTTTTTTTTTTAATAAAAATTTTCGAAAAAGCCTACCTAGATGAGGGTATCGTGGATGTCGTGGGTGGCTCCTTATCCTTGGTGCTTCTATTTCCGTATTTATTTTTAAGATAACGCGCCCATGAACTAAGGGCAGCGCCGTCTTTTTCGGCGCCTCCTCGATCTCGATCCGGACTTGGTTCGCGTGATTTGAGTGCGTGTGTGCTGCGACTTCTTGCCAATTCCGAGCCGGCACCGTATTTCGCTGCCAGATAGGCATTCGGCGATTGTGTCGTTGGCGATGGTGGATCCTCGTCGATTTCGAGTTCCTCGCCACCGAAATTGTGGGAGCTCCTCGATCTCGCCAATCTTTGTCTCCTCTCCTTCAGTGCTGCGTACCTCGATCTCGGTGATAATGGCTCGATTGGTTCTGTGTCCACAATTGGCTCCCGTTCCCTCTCCCTCGTTGGGGTTCCCATTGTTGCCTGACTTCTGCTCTTGTTCAGGAATCTGCAAAAAAATTTACCCAAAAACCGGATATTCCTACAATTATATCTTTTTTTTTTTTTTTTTTTTTTTTTTTTTTTTAATTTCAACTGAAAAATAATGTAATTAAATTTTTAGAAAATTTAAATTTTATATTCTTTCAATTTAAATAGAAAATTCCAATAAATATTAAAGATTTAAAATAAATTATTAACTTTTTATTTTAGACTATTGAAAATTATATTTGAATACAATTTATATAAGATTAAATTTTCAAATTCACGCAGAATGACCGAAAATATCAGAGGTAGAAAAAAATGAGAATCGTTATTTTTTTCATTTTAGTCAATATTAATAAATAAAAAATTGAATTAGATAATGAAATAAAATGAAATAATTAAAACAGATCTATTAAATGATATTCAATATTAAATTTGATAAGAATAAGGATATAAATTTAATCGAAAAAAAAATTCACAAGCGGGATGCAAAAAAAAAAGAATACTAGGACGGTTTTTTTTCTGACAGGTAAATAAAAAATGCGAGTTATCACAAAAATGCAGTTTATTTACCACACTCACAAAACTGATGCAAAAGCGTATGTTTTTTCGCTTGAGAAAAAAAAAACCCCCCAGATAATACAAAAAAAAAAGAACACTTATCATTTATATAGATTCGTTTATCGTATCCTTGTGATAACTTAAAATTAACGAATTTCTTTCTTCGTTATTAAAAGTTATCAAGTTTACGATTTCATAACACGTACGACTTTCATGACTCTAATTCTTCTTTTCTCTTTTCTTTTCGGTCAATTCCTTTTTTTTTTTTTTAGGGGGAGGAGGATGAGCCAGTTAGTTGTTATCAATTTCAAAACACTTTAATTACAAATGGCAAAAATTATTTTATTTATTTCTTCAAGAGAAACTAAAAATTAAAAGTTAATTTAAGCGATAAAATTGAAAAACAATTTTAAAAAAGTACAAAATTGTGAAAAAAAAATGAAAGTAATGTTAATTAATTGAATTTAATTTATTATTAAACAACTTTTATGTAAAATATATTTAATTATTTGTAATTAAAATACTTTGATTTGAGCTCTAATAAAAATCTTTTTTTTTTTAAAAAAACGCGAATTTAAAAATTAAAAAACAAGTAAAAAGAAAGCTAATGAAGCTAATATTGAGCAACATTTAAAAAAAAAACGAACAGGAAAGTACATTTGCATACAGAGGAGTCGGTTTAAAACACGTCTTCAATAATTATCACAATACGCAAAACAAAATGCATAGGTTCGAGCAATGAATAAATACAAGAGAGCTATACACGACAAAGTAATTATAAATAAGACATCGATTTTCTCTAATTATAATATATATATCTCTATATTACGATTATTAATTCGATGTTGATTAAAAATTAGAAATATATCCTTTTTCTTTCAATATTAAATATTTTTTCTCCGGTCTTTCCGTCCGTTAATAATGCATTAACAGCGAGATCGTGTTATTTAGAAAAAAAATTATTTTGGTGTTAATAAAGTGAAGGTGTGAGAATCGGAGAAAGACCACTTTTCACGAGAAACAATTTCAATGATAATTTTAATCGTTTTTTTTTTTTGTTTTTTTATTATAGTCGGACGGAATTCTATCAGTCAGTTGCAGAATTGTTTTCAGTCTTTCTTCAAAAATTTTGATACTTTCATTTTGAGATGAAATTTTAATTTTTGTCAGTCTTTTTTACATATATTAAAAAATTATTGGTTCAAGAAGTAATTTTTTTTTAGAGAACTTTTCAAAATTAAAAGAGCAAATTTTTAAAATATTTTTGTATTTAAAAAATTTTTATGAAAATTTAATTAATTAATAATTAAAAATATAGTTTCAAAAAATATTAAATATTTGGAATAAAGAAATTACAATTATTATTTAGATGAGGAAAAATTCTATATATTTACAATAGAAAATTATTTGACATAAACTGTGAAAAAGAGGAAAAGTTTTTTGATAATAGTCAACATTTTTGTTGGGATTAAAATTTAGTAAAAATTTCTATCAAATTGTGTTCGATAGAAAAAAAAATTAGTGCAAAGTTAAATTTTTTATTTCTTCTGTCACGATACAGCAGCAAAGGGAATGTTTCGTTTTCGGTCTTTATCTGATTCTTAGATCCGCCACCTTCGACTTGTTTTTTTGTTTTTTTTTTTTTTTTTAAAGTCACAGGAACAGATTAATTAAAACGCTGCAACATAGCACGGAAACACAGAGAACAGTGGTTACCATTTGCATTGGTACACTCACGTCTCTCTCAGTTGTATGATCCTCTTTTTTATTATCGCTCATCCTTGAATAATGATTCATCTCGTTGTCATTTGCCATTTGATTCATTTTCTCCTTATCCATTTGATTTAGAATTGCTTTTTCTTCCTCGCTTCTTTTTTCATTATCGTCGTCCATCTCATCGTTATTGTTGTTCTCCTCGTCGTTGTCATCAAGCGGAAGTGTCGATGAATTAGGCGCCTCTGTTTCACTCTCTGACTCGTCCTCAGAAGTCATCCATCCATTTTTTCCAATACTACCTTGTCGATAAATTCTACTATTTTTCTTCTCCGAATTATTATTACTTTCATTGTCATTTCGTTCATCGATTTCTTCATCGGTCGATAAATATCGGCTTTTTACCGAAGTTTCATTTGTATTTATATTTTCGTTTGAGAAATTTTCCATAATGCTATGTGATGAATTTGTCAATTGATCAGGCAAATCATCATTCACAATCCATCCATTGTCATCAAATTGAATTTCCGTATTCTCAACAATTTGTCCATCATTCTGTAGTTTTTGATCAGAATCCTCAATTTCTGATAATTCCTCCTCTGATTCTTGTTCATTTTTCGAACTAAATTGATTTATAACAATTTTTGGAATTCCATTAATAATTTTTTCTTCTGTTTTTTCATGATTTTTTATTATTTTTATATTTTCATTAGATTCATTAACTTTAATATTATCTTTATTATTTTTATCTTCTTCTTTAATATCTTCAAATTCAGAATCGAGATTTTCGTTTGTATTTTTGTGAATTATTTCACTGTCATCGGATAAATTTTTATCATCATCATTATCTTCATTATCAGTGTCATTTCTTGTTTCAATAATAGGATTGAAAATTTCTCTATCGGTAATTATTGTCTCATTATTGGTCCCATGATTATTTAAATCATTCACTAAAGAATTATTATCATTTGAAAATTTATTGGAATGACTATCATTATTTTGTTTGTCTTTAATATTATTATTTGCCAAATAATTTCCATGATTTTTCTCGTTGTTGTTCCACGATGATGATTTACTCTGGTTTCCATCAAGTCCGGATTCACGACTAGACAAGAAGACATTCTGATCATTATTCCAAATGATATTCTCATCGTCAATGATCGTTTTATTAATAGTGTCGTTTATTATTAAATTATTTTTTTCATCTCTAATTTGATTATTATTGTTTGTTTGGGAATTATTTTCCTCATTATGAGGGGGGGAATTTTCATTAGTAATATTATTAATTTGATTTGTTTGAAAATCATTAATTTTTGTCAATTCTAATGTAATATCGTCATGTTTCATTGAATTACCGTCCGACATAATTATTGATTTTGATAAATTCGTTAATATCGCGACCCGATTATTGTTTGAATTCTCATTGATTATTTTATTTGGCGAGAATTCATCGTCATTAACCACCCTCAAACGATTATTATCATTATCATCCAGGAAGTTATTGGAATTAGAACCCAAGTCGTGAATGTCGTAATCGTTTTTTACGAACCTGCTAGTATAGCCGCTTGGTGTTGTCATCGAAGTGGTTGTCGTTGGTGTTGTTGTCTGCGCTGGACTTCCCCTCGGTGAGACGTATCTGAAATATTTATTTTCATTGAATTATTATCCTCAGGGGACAATTATTTTCCTTTTTAAAAACAATAAATTAAAAATGAAAGTTTTCTTTTAAAAAAAAGAATTCTTTGTGCGGCAGAATTGTTGACAATTATTATTATTCTCAATTGACAAAAGTCAATTGAGTTTTATTTAATATGAATTAGTTTGTAAATTTTTTTTGAAAACTTTTTCAATGAAAATAATGAATAAATTAAATAAAAAAAAAAAATAATAATTAAAATAATGGAAATTAAAATTGGATAAAAAATAATTTTACCTTGATGAAGGTGAGTCCTCTTTACTGCCACGACGGGCTTCGGCACTTCGTGCAAGAAGAGGACCAATATCTGTACGAGCCATGGCAGATTCATTTCTCTGTCGATCTTGTGTTGTGGAAGGTGCAGTGGTTGTTGTTCGTGTTTCAGTTTCTGATTCCTCTTCGGTTTCAGTTTCTGTTTCTTCGGATGAACTGCTCGTTTCATCTTCGTCCTCCTCGTCCTCTTCTTTTTTCTTAGGCTCTTCCCTTGCAGGCGTTGGTGCCACCTGAGGAGGTGGAGGTGCAGCACGATTACCTATATATAGACAATAAAAATTAAAAAATTATTATTTCTCACTCATTTATTCCATTTTGTCACTAAAAAGTTTCGAACTCTCTTAAAAAAAGAAAATTATTTTACAAAAAAAAAGAAGAAAATTACAATTTTTTTCCAAGATACTACGAAATTTCTTTTTTAAGAATATATTTTTAAAAATAAATTACGAAAAATATTTTTCAAATTGAAAAAAAATTTTTTGCTTTTATTAATAAGCATTGTTTTTTTAATTAAATTTATTATTTACAATAAGCAATTTAGTCATTAGCATTATTCAGCTCGTTTTAAGGCTTTTTTTTTTTAATTGCGCATTATTAAAATTAGCAAAATAATTGTCATCACAAAAAACAGGTTTCGTAATTTTTATAATTAATAGAAAAAAAATTTACTTTCTTTGTTTTCGCTAAAAGAAGTATTTTAAAACTGATGGTATTTTTTTTTTTTTATTACATTATTATAACTTTTAAAGTAAATTCAAAAAAAGATTCAAATAGTTACCAATTTACGAAAATAGAAGTAATTCTATTTACTGTAACAAAAAAATAAAGTGAGATAAAAAATAAATTTTAAAATTAACAAACAGATAAGGAAAGAATTGAGGGTTGGAAGTGGATAAATTTAAAAAAAAGTAACAAAAATGAAAACAAATTTTGATTTAAAATAAGAATGACGAATTTTTAAATTCGAAGTTGGATAGAAATTCGATATTTTTTTATAAATCTCGAATATTTTCTAAAAAAAAATTTCAAAATTCAATTTATAACGATTTTTTAGAGAATATTTCATGCGCTCGAACTAAAAAAAATTAAGCGAATGTCAGTGAATGTTAATGAAATCAAAAAGAAAATAGTGTTTCAATTAATTGGATTAATTAAGAAGAAAAAATTCTCTATTAAAAAAAAACTGTTTTGATATTACCTGCGCCTAAAAAACGACTCTGAAAGGGTCTGGTAGAGGATGTGGTTGTTGTTGGAGGGTCTCTATGGGATGAACTTGAGAGACTACCTGGACCTGATGAAACTGTGGTTGTTGTATTTGTCGGTGGTGCTCGCGATAAATATTTTTGTTTCATTTCTTCAGCTGTGAATGGTGCCCCAGTGTTTCTTATTCCCGAGCCACTCGAACTTTCTGAACCTGTACTTGAATCTGAAGATGCACTTCTTGTCCCTTGTGCATGAGTGTCTGTCGATGTTCTTCTGAAAAATCATTTATTAAAATATAAAAAAAATTATGATTTTTTAAATTAAAATTTATTATTATATAATTCTTTATTATTTTTACCTTGATATGGGTGTTCTTCGGGGAAGTTCTTCCGGTTCTCGTTCTTGAGTTTCTCTGACGGTTTGATGAACCGGCACAGAAGGCGGTTGACGTTCTTCGACTGTTTCCGGTGGTGTAGGAACATTTTTATTTTGCTTCTTGATTCTTGAGATTTCGTCGTCTTCGCTTACTTGTCGAGCCACGGATGTTGGTGCTTTTCTCACTTGAACCTGTTGCAATAAAAATCTTTATTATTTTCTCCCCTTCGAAATTCGTATTTTTAATTAAAATTTTTTAATTCTACAATTAATTTTTAAATTTATAAACAAAAATATCATATAATTGTAAAATTGAGAACAATTATTATAAAAAATCGATTATTTTTAAAATGATTAAATTAACACAAAGGAATGTTGAATAAATTTACAACGAATTTTAAGAATATCGTGTTTTATTTATATTATATTTATATATACTCTCTCAGGATAATATAGTGAGTAAAAAGAAAAATTTACAATAAAAACTTGTACAGTGTTGTAAAGTGTTTTAAAAAAAATATATCGGCAATTTCATTTGATTTGAAAATTTAAAAAATAATTTTTCAAAAATATCTATTCTCTTATAGTCTATGTAAACTAATTCTAAAAATGCTTCATGGAAAAAATTTGCTATTTTTTTAGTTTAGCATCTACATATTATTTCTAAAATCAGGAGTTCAGCAAAAATATTCCTCATTAAAGCTTTAATGAACTTTCTAATTTTTCTAAAAAAAAAAAAAAATTAAATTTTCTTTTGTATTAATTATTAATTTCTCTCCATTTTTGTTTTCATGTTGAAATAAAATAAAATGAAAATAGAAAATAAAAATTAATATGACATTAATAATTTTTGTAAACAAATAATAATAATAATTTGTGTAAAAGCTTAATTTAAAGAGACCTTGAGCGCAATTTCAGAGAGGTCGAAAATATTTTTGGATATCTAGAAATCATGATTGCATCGCAAAATAAATTACGATTGAATGGCAATAGAAATGGAGACTGTGCAAACAAACGAGAACCTCCGCAGCACATTTTCTATTTACACAACGGCAAAACGTTTCTTTTTTTTTTTTTTTTATTATTAGTCCAATCGGCAAGAAATAGATAGCTTTTATTTTTTAATAGCGTACATGCTTTTCTTACATATTGCTGAATTTGAAATATATTATTTGCATTTTGCTAAATTATAAAACAAAAATGCACTAAATTTTGATTAATTCACATTATGACAAGACATGAAAAAGAAAAAAAGAACTCATCAGCAACTGAGCTAAGAAACGCTTGCACAATAAAAAAAAAGAGTTTTCACAAAACTAAACAAATTCAATTTTTTTGTAAAACAAAATGAAACTACTAATTATAATTAATTATTGAAAATAATTGAAATTTTTTTTTTAATCAAATTTTAATCTATAGCATTAGCGTTTGTTTCGAACTTATTTGTTTTTTTTCCGTTGTGCCGACGTGTCGAGTGCGTGTGGATGGCTCGTGTCCTCATTTTCTGCTCTTAATCTTCAGGATTTGACAAATCCTGTCAAACAAATAATTCCATTATTTTCCATTCTCTTTCCAAATTTTTTTTTCAGTTTTATATTATTTTTAACTTTATTGATCTCTTTTTTACTCTTTTGATATTTTTTTTTAATATTTCAATTTTTAACATGAAAAGAAAATGTTTTTTCTTCCGCCAGGGGTAAAAATAAATATAACTATTATTTATTATTATAATTAATTTAATATTTAGAAATTATAACAATTAATAATTTTTTTTATAATAATATAGTATGCATTCTAAAAATTTCTCAACTCTAGTGAATCCAAAAGATTGCAATAATTAATAAAGTCCAACTTAAGATAAATAGAAGGCAATCTTTACTTAATACAAGTGAACCAAGTGAATCCTTCAAGTCTCGTGAATGATTAGCCATTGCCTGTAGAACGATGAGGGGCATTTTTTTTTTTTACTCATAATTAATTTACAATTTAATTAATTAAAATGAATTACCTTTTTCTTCAACCATTTGTTTTTCAATATTAATTTTAAATATTTGAAAATATACGTATTGAACTAATTTATATTTTAATTATTTAATTAATTATTATTTTTGAGTGAGAAAATAAATTTTTTCTAATTATTTCAAAATAATTTGTCTGTGTGGATATAATAAATTCGATTAAATGAAAAAAAATCAAAAATTGAGTCTTTACTCACCTGGGGCTTTGGCTGTGGAGCCGGTGGAGGTTGAACGGGTTCCTCTTTTTTCCTCTTGCCAGCCCTTTCGTATTCCTGTAGTTTCTTCATAACACGCGGTGAATCCGTGAGACGAAAAATTCCCGAGAGTGGACCCCTCGCAGCATCTTCCGTATCAAGGACTCGTTCACGTGCATTTCCTGTGTCCTGTGTTCCTGTGAATCTCACCGTTGTCCTTGTATCGCCATCTGAATCTTCACCATCTCGATGTCTCATAAATCGACTTCTGTAACGCGATTTATTTCTCGGTGCCTCATATTCCGGTGTATCGTATCTAAAATTAAATTTCACTATTTTACAATTTTTTTCTAACAAATTAATTAATAAAGAATGGAAATAAAAAATTAATAACAGCTGAGGAATTTCTCTCTAATTTTCAAAAATATTTTTCACACGAATAGTTGTTATAATTTCCATAATGGAAGGAATATACCAATTACAAGAAAAATTATTCTCATTTCTTCAAAACTAATTGAAGCGTGCGACAATTTTTATTGCCACTTATGACATATTAAGAAAATAAAATTCGTGTAAAAAAAAAGAGAAAGAGGAAGAACAATGTCAGTAAAAAAAAAGCTTGTAAAATATCCAGAGAAACACAGTGGTGAATTGTTAAAAGCGTCGAAAGAAATAATTTATGGTCAATTTCATTTTTTTTTTACTTGCGTTTAGCACGCAACCATTTCAACAATTTGCATATTCGGTGGTGGTTCATTAAGAGAAAGAGAGAGAGAGAGAGACTTGGCAACGAGACTATGACGAGAATTATCTTACACGGTCTGTAATTAAATTCATTATTTTAGACTTGATAAAAAAAAAAAAAAAAAATTACACATACAAAAGAAAACGGTAATAAAGAAATAATAGAGAAATGAGTGAAATTTAAAAAAGTGGTATTTAGTATATTTTATATATAAGTTATTCTGGAGTAGATATTTGGGTCATTCTGAAAAACTTATTCCCTCTCGTCAGGTCTTTGGCGATATGCCAAAACAATTCGCTACTTTGATCGAAAAAGGCCGAGAACAGTATTTCCTACGTGCTTCTTTTATCAAGGAAAAATCTTTCTTCTATTGCCAGAAATTTAGACAAAAAAAAAAAAAAAAAAGAATCAACCCATTTATCCTTATATTGCTTGCGATACAAAATTTCGAGCCTCTGATCCTTTATACTTTTTCAGCATTTTTTGAATTTTTATAAACTCACAAAATTTTGATTATTGATAAACTAAATAAATATTTTTGTAAATATGTAAAATAAAAATTATTACTCATAATCGGGAACGTATCGATTTCTGGTTAATCGATCGTCATCCGGTTGACGATATTGAGAGGCGAGACGATGATCACTTTTGCTTCGCATTAGACCAGGAGAACCACCGGGCGGTGCAAGAGTTCCTGAACTACTTCCTAAAAGCCCGCTACTTCCGGTTTCAGGTTTGATATTCAATTCCCCATAACCGGCAACATGAAGAACTAATTGATTTGGATCGTGAGCCATTACAAAACGTACACGTCGACCATAATCTCCTGCTTCATATTCAAAGTTTCTGTAAATATAAAAACATTTTTTTTTTAATATTTAAAAAAACAAACAAATTATTCTAAATAATTATTAATTTTTACAATATGTGAATAAAAGAATAAAAATAAAATTACCTGATAAATTCGACGGTGCGCAAAAAAAGTTCTTTAGTATCAAGAAGTTCAGCGTCATCCCATGGGACATTTTCATTAATATGAGCTTCCGCAAGATCGCAATTACTTTGAATGTTGGCGATTTCAAGTTCAAGATTTTCTTTCAATTGAATGAGTCCACGAAGTTCAGTGCCTAAATAACGATCGAGTTCATTACGTAATTGTTCGGTACGATCTTTTAATGCTTTACTGAGCCTTCGATAAATTTCGTCCACTTCCTCTGCAACCGATGCAGAATTTGTCTGTAGACCCAAGGTGTTTTTTTCCACTAAAGCTAATGCATCCTGTAATCGATGTAATCCCCTACGCACCTGAAAAAATTTATTATAAATTTTAAAAAAATATAGTTTTAGAAAAAAAAAATTCATAAAATTTAAAATAAAAATTTTTTACTAAAAAATAATTCCTATTTTTGAAATTAATTTTGCCAAATAAATGAAAATCGTTTCAAAAATTATTTGAGAGACATTTTTGGCTATTAACCTCGAAATTAACTTTTTTTTTTCAAAATATCAAAATTTAATAAAACTTTTTTTATAATTAAAAAAAAATTTCAATTTTTCTCACTATATATATATATACAAAAATAATTTAAATTAAATAGAAAAGTAACAAAAATTTAAATCATGGTTCAGTAAGTATAAAAATACTAATAACAATTATAGATAAATCAAGAAGATTTTTATATTTTATTTCATATTTATCGAATAATTTTATATAATATTTTATTTAGAAAAATAAGTGCGGAATTTATTAAAGAATGCATAAAATATCACAATCAGTATCGTGAGCGTCACGAGAGTCCACCATTACAAGAAGACGAAAGGGTACAAATAATATTTAAATTGTGAATTAATCAACTAATTAATCAATATTGATAATTATTTATTCAAGTAATTATTCAATTTTATAAATATTTAAGGGTATAATGAATTAATAAATTAATTTGGGAATTTAGGGAATTATTTAGGTGATTAATTAGAGAAGATAATTTATTGTTAATTAAGAAATTATTTTAAAAATTAATTAATTATTGGCATTTTGAATTTATTATTAATTTATTTATAACTTCATATTTGGAAATTTTGTAGTTGAATCAATTAGCACAAGAATGGGCGGAAAATCTCGCGATAATTGACAAAATGGAACATAGACAAAATAATTTACATGGAGAAAATATTTATCAGGCTTTTGATTCGAATACGGAATGGATTATGGATCCTCATGATCCCGTGAAATCCTGGTAATTTATTCATTGTTTTTATTATTATTATTAATAATATTATTATTAATTCTTTTAGTAATTTTAATCAAATTATTATTTTTTTCCGGAATTTTCGATTTTAATAATAAATTTTTTCTTCTAAAGATTTAAGTGAAAAATTGTTATTGATTTGAAATAATGTATCAAATGAAACTTGTACCTTATATAAAGGTATGAGGAAATTTCTTTATACGTATTTGGTGAAGCGGAACCGAAAAATTCAAGTGCAGTCGGACATTTTACTCAATTGATCTGGAAGGAAACAATAAAAATGGGCGTTGGATTGGCGACCAGCGAAAAGGGACAAGTTTATGTTGTTTGTAACTATGAGCCTGCTGGTAATATTGTTGGAGAATACGCGAAAAATATTAAACCTGCCAAGAAATTGAACCAGGTAAATTATTATTATTATTATTTAGCCATGAGTCTAATTTTTCAACTAAAAGAAAATAAAAATTTGAAAAAAGAGATTTGCAAATTTTTGTATTTTTCTCTCAAGCAAAAAGGAGAAATTTAAAAATTTTAGAGATAAAAAAAAATAATTTGCAAAATAAAACAATTTGATTAATTTTATCATTAAATTATCAGGAGAGTAAAATTTTCAAGGTTGTAAGTAATTTAGGAAAAATTGAATCATTATTAAATTTATATACGAAAAATTGGCACGAGAAAATTATACGAATGTCTAACTATCATTTACGGAAATAAACGTGAATCATTGATACATCAAGTTCCGTTTGGCATCGACACGATAAACAAATTTCACGTCATTCTACAAACATTTTTCTTTTTTACATTCAAAACTTTCTTTATATACAATTTGGTGCGTTAAAAAATCTTTTTCTCCCTAGTTTTTTTTTTTTAGAAATTATTTTTATTTTATTTTTTATTAATTAAAAATTATTTATTTAAATTAAAATAAATAGAAGAAAAAAAAAAATTTTATTTATATACCTGTGAATTGATGCGAGTGATTTCACGTCTAAGGATGTCCATGTGAGCGTCTTTGCATTCTGGACAGCATTTTTTCTCACAATGAACGCAAAGGGCACAATAACTTTTTTCTGAACAAACACCACAACGTTCCATGGTTTGACCACTGGTTGGATCTGGCAATTCCCCAGTAATTTCGATGTGTAATTCCAAAAAACGTTGCAATGTCACGTTCGTTGGAAATGCCTGAACACCCTAAAAATTTGAAAAAAAAAATTATTAAAAACCAAAAATTTAATTGTTAATTCAAAAGAAGAAAAAATAACTAAAATTTATATAGAAAAAAACTACTATTTTTGGAAAATTTTAGAAATTCCTTTCTACAAATTATAATTTTTCGAAAAATTTATTCTTTTTTTTTCACGCGATCATCAAAAAAATGCGAATGACGTCAATAAAAAATATTTTTACACATATATTTGCTGATTTATTGTCAACACGTTGATCAAAGATTTCACAGCAGTATATCCTTCAATATTGATATTTTTAGAGATTTGGGCCAAGAAAATAAATTGTGGTAATTGCAAAAAAAAGAAACAGTAAATTAAAAACAATTATTTGTAATTTTTTTATTTTTATTAATATTATTATGGAAAAAATTATTTGTAATTTTTTTTTATTAATATTATGGATAAAATTATTTGTAATTTTCTTTATTAATATTATGGAAAAAATTATTTGTAATTTTTTTTTATTAATATTATGGAAAAAATTATTTGTAATTTTCTTTATTAATATTATGGAAAAAATTATTTGTAATTTTCTTTATTAATATTATGGAAAAAATTATTTGTAATTTTCTTTATTAATATTATGGAAAAAATTATTTGTAATTTTTTTTTTATTAATATTATGGATAAAATTATTTGTAATTTTTTTATAATAATAATATTATGGAAAAAATTATTTATTATTTTTAAAGAAAAAATTAATTAAAAAAAAAAAAATTTATGTAATTTAAAAGTAGGTATAGGTTTTTTTTTCACCTGATAGGGTATTCGATGTTCGGCACGACATTCTGGACATTTGACCTGTCGACGAACGTAATCGACAAGGCCATCCATACATGGTTCCATGCAAAAACTGTGTTGACATGGCAGCAATTTTGGATTTCTATAACGATCCAAACAAATTGCACACGTCAGCAGTTGCTCGAACTGCTCCATGTTACCTGAAAAAAATCAAAAAATTTTATAAATTTTTTTTTTATTTATCATCCAAATTTTTTATATGAAAAAAAAAATATTTTTAGCAATTTTCATGCTAACACAATTTCATAATTTTTATTTAACCGAATTTTTATTCGGATTTTAATTTAGCGTAATTTTGATTTTATTTAGCCAAATTTTTTATTTAACAAAAATTATAATAGAATTTCAGTTAAATAAAAATACATTTTTTTAAATGAAAATTCCAACTAAATAAAAACTCGACTGTAAAAATTTTTTGTTAATTAAAAAATCGGTAAAATGAAAATTCTGTTAAATATAAATTTTGTTAAATATTCTGTTAAATAAAAATTATTAAACGTTTTGTTAAAGAGAAATTATAAATTTTTTTTACAAAATTCTATTTTTTTTAATAATTTAAAAAAATACGAATTTTTGTTTAGAAAAAAAAGAAAATTTTGTTTAATATTAAAAAATATTTGAAAATGAAAAGAAATTAGAATTATTTTTTTGCACTCTGAAGCAATGTGCACCACTTTGTGATTGTAACACATCGATATAAACCAAATTGGACTTATGAGTATTTCAGGCATCGTTAAATTATTTCAGTTCTGACCCAAATTCAAAACACATCCGTCTAGAGGAAGTGTAGAGTCAAGTGAACCATTACCAATGTTTAATTGATCATATTTCTCAAACATTTTGTTTAATTTTTTTTACATTTTTTACTTTTTCTTAACAATATAACATGTTTTTTTTTTTTATAATTTTCTTTCCACCAAAAAAATTCCAAAATTTTTTTTTATGCCGTTATCAAAAATTCGTGTTTGTTATAAATGTTATAATAAACAATTTTGAAAAAGGCAATATTTTCGAAAAACATGGAAATATTTAAAAAATTTTAGTATTTTTTAAATATTATAATAATTTATTCCTTTTTTTTCTATATATACTTTTTTTTATTATACTTGTACTTTTTTAAAAAATAATTTTAAAAATATAAAAAAAAGATAGAATTAGTCAAAAAAAGAAAAAAATTACAACACTCTTTAGAGCAGTATAAATATATGACAAAAAAAAACACAAAAATAAAATAAAAGACATGTGTCGAACTGTTTCTTTTCTAGAAGTTCTTTCTTCTGTAACAAAAAGAGCTCGTGTCTCTCTTGAGAGACACTCTAAATAAAAGTGATCTAATTTTATCTTTTCCGCGACTATACTTTGAAAAGTGGATATATATAATGCTCAGAAAATTTGAATATTTACTCATTTCCACATACCGCATTTAAATTTTTCAAGAAAAAACAAAAATTTTTTATAGAAGTAATAAAAAATTTTAGTTAACGAAGAATTTGTTTAACATGACAAGTATTTTTTTTGTTAAACATTATATTTTATAATATTTATTTATTGAAAAAATAAATAAAAAAATATAAAAAATAATAGATATAAATAATACAAATAATAATAATAATAATATTAGTAATAATAATAATAATTATTATTATTATAATACCTGTATGTTTATAAATAATAAAATAAAAAAATAATAGTAAAAATAAAAATTGAATTAAACGTATTAATTTTTGTATATTTTATTATAAAAATTAAATAAATTTTCACTATTTGAAAAAAAAGTAAAATTCTGTTTTTGGATCAATTTTCACACTCTAACGAGGCACTTGTTGATCTTGAAAAGAGATGGTGAGCGCAACAGGCGAGAAACTGTGATGTTTAATTTTTTTTTATACAAATTGAAAGAAATATAAAACAATTAATAATAATTATTAATTGGCTAAAAATGAATTATGAATTGATAAATTATTTTTATTACTATTAGTCATTAGTTTCATGTATAAAAAAAAATTCTTATAATTTGAACTTTTCATTGACAATCACAAAAGACAAAAAAAGCGTGGGAGATGTACGTCATTGTCTTGAAATTTTCTCTCTCTCTCTCAAACTTAATTCATCTGATCGTCGATCCACGTTTTCTTCGTCGACATTCGCTCTATAAATAAATACAGATTCACGGCTTTTAACTATAAGTTCCATCAAGGTTTTATTTCCGTGAACTTTATTTTTATTATTATTGTTCTTTATATTTATAAAAAAAAAAAAATTTCAAAATCTAATTCATATGATTTTATTTTTTCAATTTTTAAATTAAAAGCCAAAAAATAGTTTTTTTTTAAAATAATAAATAATGAAAAAATTTAATAAAATATGCATAAAGTGTATAATATGTAAATAAAAATAGAGTGAAAATAAAATTCTTCTTTTTACAAAAGACAATGGGTGCTTGTGAAATAAAATTATTATGATGATTGTTTACGCGCACGCGAAAAATACTCCAATAATGCTCGCCTCATCGCGTCATTTTCAAATGAACGTTCCAAGATTTTCTTCTTACACAAAGACTTTAAAGAAATAACATATTGATGATGAATTTAAAAATATAAATTTCAAAACAAAAGATTTGCCTTTCTTTTTATAACACACTTGCTTTTCTTTCTTTTGTGTGTCAGAAAAAAAAATAATACGCATCGAAAATTTCAATATTAAAACAAAAAAATCGAAAAATAAATGTGTTACAATTTTTTTTTTATTTATCTATATTATTTTATATTATTTATTTCATGTAATAAACTTTCTATGTAACAAAAAAAAATGATACAAAATGTAGATTACAGAAATTATAATAATAATAAAAAAAAAATAATTGAATTTTTATCCCTAGGGAATAAAATGATTTTTTTCCCTCTAGAGTAATAAAATCATTTTTTCCAATACTAGGGAATAAACTGTTTTTTTTTCTTTTTAAAAATTGGAAAAACCTTTTATTTATTTATAAGACATTTTTTTTTAATAATTATTATTATTTTTATTTAAAACAATGTATTTATATTTTTATATATTTATTTTCCTTTTGGTAAAATTATCCCTTTTTATCTCTATTAAGAAATAGTTATATTTTCTTACTCTATTTTGTGAAAAGTATTTTTTTAACCCTAGGGATTAAAATGGACATTTTTAGCCTTAGGGACTAAAATAGCATTTTTTAGCCAAATAGCCTTATAATAAAATTAAAAATAATAATAATTATTATTTAAATTTATTTAGAACATAACGGGACATTTAAATTTATAAATATATAATAATAACGTAAGTATATATTAATAATAATTATTAACTTATATTATATTAACAAATAATCAGAAACATTTTCCAACTACTTGCTATTAAAATTATAAAAAAGACACATTAACAAAAGTTAATTTTTCCTCACTTCTCAATAAAAAAAAAAAAAAAAAAAAAATACACCGACACTATTTTTCCGTTCAAAAGCAAAAATTTCTATAATACAATTAATTGGTTTTTCGTGCATTAAAAATAATTCTAAAAAATTTTCACTAATTTCAAAATTAATAAAAAAAAAACCATATCATCCATACCGAGTGAATTTTTTTTTCTACACTAATAAAATTGTTTTTTTTTTTAAAATAATTTTTCACTAAAAAAAAAAATTCAACTATACAAGAAAAAAAAACTTTTTTTTCTTTTTAAAAATTATAAAAAACCCGGATTGGGGCTTGACCCTGATTGAGAATATATCGATATTGTCAGTCGCGGTAGACGGAATCAGATACTGATCCTTAGCAGTAGTCATGGGTCCTACCAAACCCCAAGGGGGATATTTTTAGACAACACCTTCCATTTTCCAGCGCGCCGTTTATTTTAAACATTCGAATGCGGGCTCTCTGAGAATAGAAAGTAAAGAGAGAGAGAAAGAGAGAGAGAGAGAAAAGAAAAGTCACGTGCTGCCACCCTCGAAATCTCCCACGAACTTTTCCAGCTTCCTCTTCTCTTGCGGGACCCTCAAATGTATATATATATATATATTGAAAAAGCAATGACCTCTCTTTCACAATTGACACGAGGGAAAGCAGCACAGTCGACGTATTATCGACGTTGTCGGCAAGTTAGAATTGTCAATTTCCTCGAAACATTAAGAGAAAGCTTCTCTAAAAGCTCTCAAAAAGCTGAGAGAGAAAAAAAGTACAGCTACTGTTGGTAAATTTACCTTCATTTGATCTAAAAGTTTTTTTCCGAACCAACTTCGAATAAATTTATTTTACTTCGAGCAAAATACGTATTAGAAAACAAAATTTCAAATACAATACAAAATTTTCAAAATAAAAATTTCTTTTCTTTAATCTAAAAATTTGCATTTTTTCCCCCTCTGTACGAAAAGTGTGAAATAAAAAAAAAACGGTTTTTCAATTAATAAGCAAAGATTTAACAGAAACAAAAATTGTTTAAATTTATTATTAATTACAAATAAAAAGAAAAATATTCTTTTATGGATATTTTTTCACCCTAGTGAGAAAAGAGTCCTTTTTTAACTATAGTTTTGAAAAATTTGCAGGGGAGTTAAAAAAGAAGATAATTGTTTCTGAAGGGAATTTTTATTCCTAAGCACTGGAGAGTAAAGTAACCTCTTTCGACACTAGTAAAAAAAATGACTAATACTAGTGGTCAAAGTAACTCCTTTCGACACTAGTCCAAAAAATGATTTATTTATACACTAGTGAGTAAAGTAACCTCTTTCGTCACTAGAAGATAAATTATTCCTTTAGCATCAGAAAATAAAATACTAGTTATCCAAATTAAGAAATTAAATCGATATTTTTCAACCTAGTGAGTAAAGTAGTTTTTTCTATACTATGGAAAGAAAGAACAATTTTTTTTGGAAAAATTCGGATAAAAAGATTAGTTTTATTATAGTTATAGAAATAATTATTTTACCAGAGAACTGTCATTCCTAAGCGATGGAGAATAAACTATCCTTTTTGACACTAGTGAGAAAAATGACTTATTTATACATTAGTGAGTAAAGTAACTTTTTTTGTCACTAGAAAGAAAACAGGTTTTTAACACCAGGGAATAATTATTATCCAAATTAAGGACTTAAATCAATACGTTTTAACCTAGTGAGCAA